GGTCTTCAGCAACTTCAGCAAAACCACGAGCAGCATAAGAGGTGAACTCAGGATGTATCTGTGGTGCTGGGCAGGACAGCTCCCAACATGGCTCCTTGGAGTCAGACCACTGCATCTTGCTGGGTGTGACCAGGGCCACTCTCCCTGTTCCACTTCTTCCCTGGGGCCTGGATTCACAAGCACTGACAATAATCCTAGCTCTTCACATGGCTGAGATCCGAGGATCACAGTTCAAAACCAGCCAAGGCAGAAAGGCCAAAGAGACTATCTCTAATTAACCAGCACAAAGCCAGAAATAGAGCTGTGGCTCAAGTGGTAGAACACTAGCCCTGAGTGATAAAGCCAAACAAGAACAAGAGGCCCTGAGTTCAAGTCCCAGCACTAACATAAATAAAAAGTAATCACAAGGTAACATGAGGCCAAGGGACAGCATCAAGTTTTCAAACCAGCCTCTCAGCCCGTTCTGGTACCTGAACGTGGGCATATATGGCCCCAGCCTAGGAGGGGTCCCTGGCCAGAGACAGCATGTTCATTATACTAAAGGACACATCCCCTCTGCTCACCACCCACACGGTCATCTGGTTCTCTTTGGTTCTGAGACCACCATCATTTGCCAGGTCCTGGGGCTCTCTTTGAAGGGAGCAGCTATCTTTGTTCGCCCTGTGCCTGTAGCAATGTCTATGGTTGGTCAGCCATTGTTAGACAAATTGTGTGGTGCTACCAAAACAGAACCAGCCATCCCAGAGGTCCCAGCAATCTGACAAGTAGGAAGTGAAGGGACAAACAAATGGGAAGGGGACTTAGTCACCAAGAACCAACAGGGCATCTTCCATCCATCTTGCCAGTGGCCCTAGGTGTAAGGGATTGTTTTACTATGTTGAAACACAAGACTCACCTTGTAGAAGTGATCAGGTAATAAACCCAGTGGGAATAGAGCCCCTCCTTCCCCCCTTCCTTCCCCCCCCCCCCGCCCCGCATCCCCACAAGTGATATATCTACATTGAAAAGGTCCTCCTTGCTCCCAGGCACAGGAAGCATAGTTGATCTCCCACAAGGCCCTGGAAGAGTATCCAGCTGCCCACGGAAGCATTTCCAGTCTATGGAACAAATCATTGCCACTCTGATGATGCAACCTCATGATCAAAAACCCAAACCAACTCCCTGGCAGAGTAGATAGCCATAGGATTAAGTTGCTCCCCTGACCCTCCAAACACCTTTGTTCTTTTTTTTTTTTGGCTAGGACTCAGGCCAGTGTTACACTTCTGAGAAGATGGCCACAGTGAGGTGGCTTTTTTTTTTTTTTTTTTTTTTGTCTCCAGGACCACTTCCCTTGGCCAGGCCAAATCAGGGGTGAAAAGGGAACTAGTTGGCCAACTCCTGGAAGCTGGACTGGCCTTTCTGCCCCTGGTATCCTTAGAGGATAGTAGAGGCCTTGACTTGGCAGGAACAAAGGCCTGCAGGCGCAGGGCTATGGCATAACTCATCCACCCTGGCCCAGCCCTTCCAGGCTCCTCCTGAGGTGCTGGGCGAGACAGCAGAGGGGGCTGGGGGAGTGAGGGTTTGAGGAAAGCAGAAGTGGCAGCTCAAGACACTTGGGTTTGAGACCTGGCTTTCTGAGTGAGTCTCTGCTTGTTCTGACAACATCATTCTTGAATAAAGGAAGCAGACAATGATTATGGGTCCTCCCCCACCATTGCCTCTCCGCATGTTTTAGTCCAGTGCTGGTAAGGAACATGGAAACTTGAGTGCATATCCTGCTCTAGAGTCATAGGACATGATGTTCTGATCTGACGATGTTTTCCCAAGAACCACTTTCAGTTGGCCTGGAGCAGTCGAGACAAATCTAGAACAAGGACACATCAGACTTCTTGAGCTGTCCACATGTTCATCTCAGTGGAACCAGGTCCCCCATCTTGGCTCCCCCTGTGACTCTGCCCTGCAGGAATTGCACCAGTCAAGTCATAGGCAAGGAAGCAGAGTCTCAAGTGCACTACCCATGCCGATGTATGGATAAGCTGTGAAAACCGCTGTTCTCCCAGGGTGGGGGAGGGGCAGGCCCAGGGCCCACCTCAGTACACAGGCCACTAAAAGCTGCTGATCTCACTTAGCGCTGAGCACTTCCCCTAAGTACTTTCATTACAGCTTTTCCCAGCTCCAGCCTGTCCATACCCTGGACACTGTACAAAGAGCTTCCCAGTACTTTCTGTCCATTATCTCTATGGTTTTTCCTGCAGCTGTCTTTCAGGAAAGGCCAGGGGTAGAGGGTCCATGAGATGTGGGAGTCAGTGGAGGGGTATAGGTCTGTAGGAAAGCCCACTGCATCACTACACACAGGTATCTCACAGGTGGAAATAATACAGATATGGGTGGAAAGCATATTAATGTCACAGGTAGCTGAGGAGATTGGAAAGGAAGCACTCACAGGCCAGAATACAATTGGAAGTGGGCTGGGAGGGCCGGCCTGCCTGCCTTCCAAGGCTGGAAAGAGCCCTAGATCAGTTAGAGCAAAATCCACCCTTCTCCATTGAGGCAGGACACAGATGGCTTCCATGTAGTCCAGAGCCTCTGGGAATAACATTTCCCATCAGTAATGAACACCTGACACATTTCCAAGGCCTTCCCACCCATCTGGAAAAGGTGTCTTCATGCCCTGCTGTCAGGTAGGGAAACTGAGAGCAATAGCTCTTGGTCCAGAACTGGCCCTCTGCTCTACGGATCCGGTTGTCTTCCCACAATTCAAGGGCAGGCAGGAGCTCTCTCAGGCCTCAGCCTGCCTCCTGGCTGGAGGGACATACACCCGGGACTAGGGGCACAGGGACTCTTCCTGGAGGAGAGATGCCAGGAGAGGAGTTGATACAAGCTCTTCTTCTAGCATGGCAGACCCTCTCCTCTCCAGCTGTTCTGTTACCCCACAAGCAGCTGATTCTCATCTTGTTTTCTGAGGAGCCCATTCTTTCCCATAGATCACTTGTTCTAGAAATTCTTGGTGATCATGAAGCAGCCCTAGGCATGCTGTGGTCACAGGGAATCAGCCTGGGGGGCTCTGTGCCCAGGGAAGGTTTAAAAATAAAAAGTAGCCAAGCCGGGCGCTGGTGGCTCATGCCTGTAATCCTAGCTATTCAGGAGGCTGAGATCTGAGGATCGCGGTTCAAAGCCAGCCCGGGCAGGAGAGACCGTGAGACTCCTATCTCCAATAAACCACCAGAAAACCGGAAGTGGCACTGTAGCTCAAGTGGTAGAGCGCTCGCCTTCAGCTGAAGAGCTGAGGGACAGCGCCCAGGCCCAGAGTTCAAGTCCCACGACCGACAAAAAAAAAAAAAGTAGCCATTGTATGCCAGGTACATGGTGACTCCTTCACTCAGCGTAATTGTCAGAACCTCCTCTCCTGGCATGGTGTCAGAGAGATCCGGGTCCTCCTGCTGTGTGTCACTTCTTTGAGGGTCCAGTTCCCCAGTCAGGTTCATAGCTGCTGCCACCAGAGCGGAGGGATGTGACAGGCCCATAGGAACTGTGGGGCCTGTGGGGACGTTCTGGGAAGATTACCAAGTGACATCCTCCGGGCCCCTCTTCAAGCCCTTTCCCTCAAGCAACTAGAAAGCATACTTTAAAGGAAAAAATGAAGGGACTGTGCCTCCTGTCAGGAGGAAGTCCCATTCCAGCGTGAGGAAGAGGAGAGGACTAGGAGCATCAGGAAGCCTCTCCAGACCACCTGGGGTAGGGGAAAGAGTCAGGAAGCCCATGGAATCTGAAGCCTGCAAGAGCCAGTTGAACCCTCTGTGCCTCAGTTTATCTGTACAGGAACATAGCTGGCTCTAGAACTAAAGAACTAATTCTCTCATTCTGCCTTTTTGTTTCTCCTCCAGAAAATGAAGAAGGTAAACTGAGGGAAAGTTGGAGACGTGAACTTTGATCCAGTGGAGTCCACTTATTTCCTGGGACAACAGAGGGCGGGAGAGAACAGGATAAGATGGACACGGGAACACTAAGAGAAGGCACACACACATCAGTGCAGCTCCAGACCCCTTGTCAGTGAGAATCACAGTGCAACAGGGCTAAGTTCTCTCCTCTCCCTTCCTGGGGGAACTCTCCCTGGGCCTCATCAACGCTTCCTCTCCTAAAGCCAACCCTCCTCTTTCCCTGAATCCACCAGGCTAGCCCAGGCCCACAGCCCACTCTGGCCAGGTGAGTTCCCTGGAGAGTTCACACCCCACACCTGGAGCTCACGCAGAAGTTCTAGATCTGAATCCTCAGGAAAGGAGCACTGGGGTGGGAGTCCAGCCCAGAAAGAACCAGTGGTCTAGAAAGCGAAAACCAGCCTCTGCCCCTCTGGGGCAGAAGGTCCTACCTGGGAAGGGAGGGGGAGGGGGGCTGCTAAGTGACCTTGGTGAAGTCACAGCACCCCTGGATCTCAGCTTCCCCAGAGCGGAGCCTTTATCCAGATCCAAAGTTTCTCTCGCTAGGCCAAGGTGAGGATGTGCCCAAGAGCCTTCTTTGGAAGCTCGTAGAACACTGGCAACCTCTGCACCCCCCGGGGGGGGGTGGAATCCAGCCACCCCCGCCTAGAACGGGACCCCTCACAGCACAGCAGCGGGGCCAGCACCCCTGGGCGGGCGGGGTGGACCGCCCCTCCCACCCCGGCCCGGTGAGTGGGCGGCAGGGGGCCCCGGGGAATCCCTGGGTGCGTGGGGGCGGAGAGACGAACTCCCACCTAGTCATGGAGGAGAGGAGCAGGGGGGACCCCCGCCCCCCCACACACCCGGGCCAAGCCTCTGCCCACTTCCATCCAGCCGAGACGGGGCTGCCAAGCCAGGGCCTTCCCTGACGGCCCCTGCCTGGGTCCGGGCTGGGGGCAGCCGGCGTGCGAGGCTCGGTGGCGCAGTCCCCCCTCCCCTCCCCAGCCCAGCCCACCCCCGCCGGCCCGAGGTCCTTCCCCGCCCCCGCCCCGGCCCGGCACCCGGATTCTCGGCCCTGCTCCGGGCGCGCTCCACCCGCGTGCTCACCACGTCTGCGCCCGCAGCGCCACGGCCCAGCCCCAGGCAAAGGGACTCGGGTAGCGAGGTTCGGGGACCGGAACACGCTCCCTACCTGGGAGGAGACTGCCAGCCGGTCCTCCCTCTTCCTCCTCCTCCTCCTCCTCCTCCTCCTCGGTGAAGCCAGCCCCACCTGGCAAGGGACTGTCAGCAAATTCCCCTCCGCATCAGCGCGCGAGCGGCATCCCGGCTCCTCCCAGCCGGCGCCAACCTCGGCCCCGCCCTAAGCCGCTCTGACCTGCCCGCGAACCCAGGAAAAAAGACCCGGACTCGTTCTCGGAGGTCCTGGGGCTACTAGAAAACATCGGCCAAGTACGATCGCAGACGCACCGGGCTGCGGGTCCCTGGCTGCGGTCCGCGCGGCACCCCCGGAGCGCCCAGCCTCCGGGCCGCCGCCCGGCCCACCTGCTCTCCTCCCCCAACTCGGCTCCGCAGCCTCCCAGGCCCGCCCGCTGAAAGCCACCCCGAGACCACCTCCTGGCACAGCTCCGTGGCCGCTGTTTATTCATTCCGTTCCTGCCCCCTCTTTTCCAGCAAAAGAAAGATCTACATATTGGCCACAGCCCTGCCCACGAGAGGCCTAAGGGAGTTGGGCTGGGCCCTTTACAGTTTTGCTTGGAGGGGGGCACAATCTTCAAGTGGATATTGAGTTTCATCCAAAAGCTGGCTACCCTGCTAGACACGATGGGTTTTGACCCTGGGGCAGATACCAGTTGTTTGCACCCTGAAGATTAGTGAGCAAAGTAAGAAATTGTTGGGGGTGGGGTGGGGACAGGAACATTGACTTCATCCACATTAGTGAGCACTGGCAGTACAATAGCTAACCAGACAGGAGCTACAAATTACCATGGCAAAGGCACTAGGCTGCCAGAGCCACTAATGAGTGATCTGCAGTGGTGACTCCCTTCTACTGGAATTGTCAGAGCTGTTTAGCAATATGATAAAGGGCCATAGAGGAAGCAGAGAGAGCAGAGGACATTTAACGCTTGGGGGGGGGGCACAAAGGGTAGAAGAGGGAACTTTTCAAGAGTGGGCTCTCACATAACCAGAGCACTGCAGCCCTTGCCAGACTGGTGCACCCTGGTTATGTCTCCCCATGTCATGCACATGTCAGTCCTTATGGCCCTCTCTCTCTGGTTCTTCTTCCCCAGGAACCCCAAAAGAACACAAAGGTAAGACACTACACAGATTCTGTCAAGGGCTGTCCGTGTAAGCTTAGGCTCACTCATCCAGTCATTCATATATTTATTCATTGAAGGTACAAGAAAACTTTTAACTTTGATGCAGTTGCATAATAGGCCGTTGAGACCTGACTTCTATCCCTGGCTTGGCTGTTGCCATGCTGGGCAGTCTTGGAGTAGTGTTTAGGAACCCTAACTGTTTGGGTTTGAGTCTAATGGGACCACCAACAAATGGGACTTAACCTCTCTGAGCTTCATTGCGTGTGCATGTAAAGTTGGATAAATAATAAACTAAGGTTATTATGTAGTCATGAAGATTAAATAAGATATTGTATCCAAAGTAAGTGCATATTAAGTACTTTGTGCTGGTGGCTCTTGTCTGTAATCCTATGTAGTCAGGAGGCTGTGATCTGAGGATTGCAGTTTGAAGCCAGCCCAGGTAGAAAAAGTCCAATTAACCAACAAAAAGCCAGAAGTGGAAATATGGCACAAGTGGTAGGGCACCAGCCTTGAATGGCAAAAGCTGAGGGATAACACTCAGACGCTGAGATCAGGCCCCAATACTGGCACAAAAAATATGAAATTAAAAAAAATTGTGTTGACAACACCTTACTCATGTGATTGTAACCCCTCTGTACAGCATCTTTGCAATAAAATATTTTTAAAAAGTAATTGTGCACTAATGTTGGCTATTGCTGACATGTTATATTGGGAGAGAGTAGAATCAAGACAAGAGCAGGTTCTCTTCCCTTATCTGTTCTTTCAACACAGATAGACTCTGTACTGAGCCCATACCTCACCCCCTAGTCCCCTGCAACCCTTGGGGAGACCCTACCAGGTGTCATTGACATGCTATGATGGAGGATGTGCAGAAAAAGAGGAAGGAGGGCCTGTGCTCATGCCAGATGGGCTGTACAGTCCAATGTACAGCCTATGTTCCAATGTCCCAATCAACTACACATCAACTACCCTTGTAAGTGTCAGACCTGTAAAGATTCTTGGTGGGGTTGAATGAATGGCAGGGGGACTGGCATTTGTTCTGAGTGCCTGTGGCACTGCATTGGAGTGGGTGTGCTCATGACCTCGATTGTCATCACTGAAGGACTAGGTCTGTTCTTGACTTCATGAACTGTGTAGTTCACATCATTAGATGTGTACTTGTCTGGAAGCATAATCCAGTGTAATATAAAAGAAACAAAATGCCTCTGAGTAGTCCAAATGGGTGGAATTGTCTGACAAAGTCAGTTAACATGATTTCAACAGGTCTGGTGTAGGGAGACCGCACATCCCCCTCCAGGATGCATTCTTTCCTTCTTCCTCATAGAACTCTGAGGATTGCAATCTGCATCATGACAACTCTGCTAAAGACTACAAATCCCAGGTGCCCTTGCAACCAGCTGCAAGGGGATGGTTGGGTTTGAATGGTAGGGATCCTTGAAAGGAAGCAGCCTTCCCCCCTACATTTTTCCCCTTTGTGAAGACTAGGACATGAGCTGGGTGGAGATAAGTAGCTTTGATGCTACTGCCAGGACAACTCCCTAGGACTGGCCAAGCAACAGGACAGAAAGAACCTCAGGTTGACCTAGAGGTTGGGGTCTGGAATGCCCATCACCTTGGTCTTTTCAAAGAAAGAGCAAGATACCTGTAAATCCATCATTGTTTGGTCTCTGTTACAGCAGGTGAGCTAATAGCCTAACAGTTAAGCCTAGGTGCTTGGTTTGCAAACTTGCAACAGAATATGCAGAAGCATATTAGAAAGAGAAAGGAATAATGAAACAAACAAGCACAAAAGCAATGGATGTCAAGAAGAAAGAGTTGAGAGTCATTTGGCATAGGGACTGGCTATAGTATAAGATCAAATTGGAAATAAGACTCAGAGCAAAAATCCTGCCTAAGAAGGTTAAGTAATTGACCAATTGCTGATATTTTTTGAAGAAGGAAAACAGGGCTGGGAATGTAGCTTAGTGGTAGAGTACTTGGCTAGCATGCATGAAGCCTTGGGTTTGATTCCTCAGTACCACGTAAACAGAAAAAGCTGCAAGTGGCACTGTGGCTCAGGTGGTAGAGTGCTAGCCTTGAGCAAAAGAAACTCAGGGATAGTGCCCAGGCCCTGAATTCAAGCCCCAGAACTGGCAAAAAAAAAAAAAAAAGAAGGAAAACAATTCTATAACATAGTTAGAAAATAATTTAAATTGCCAGGTGTGGGTGGCTCATACCTGTAATCCTAGCTTCTCAGGAGGCTGAGATCTGAGGATTACAGTTCAAAGTCAGCCTGAGCAGAAAAATCCATCAGACTCTTATCTCCAATATCAGGAGAATCCTAGCCTTGATCAAAAAAGCTTCAGGGACAGCACTCAGACCCTGAGTTCAAGCCCCAAGACCAACAAAAAAATTAATTGATTAATTAATTAAAATAGCTAAAGTTTGCATGTGAAGGAGAGGAACTTTCAGTATCCAGAACTTCAATCATCTGAAATGACCTTTTTCCTAAAGGGTCAGAGCTGATACATGGATTCACTAATACTCCTTCCTAACAAGGCTACAATTCGGTTGTGTGTGTGTGTGTGTGTGTGTGTGTGTGTGTGTGTGTGTGTGTGTGTGTGTGTGTGTGTGTGTGTGTGCTGGTCCTAGAGCTTGAACTCAGGGCCTGGGTGCTGCCCCTGAACTTTTGTGCTCAAAGCTGGCATGTGTCAGTTCAGCCACAGCTCCATTTCTGGCTCTTTAGTGGAGATAAGTGTCTCATGGAATTTTTTTCCAGGCTGGCTTTGAACTATAATCCTCAGATCTCGGCCTCTTGAGTAGCTAGGATTACAGGCATGAGCCACAAGTGACCCATCTAGGCTATCTGCCACTAGAGCCACATTCTCCAGCCAAGACTGCAAGTTAATATCAAATGGTGTCCTTTTTACTTCAATAAGTACTTCCCACTGGCTATGGGGGTGAAGTCCACATTGCCTTCCACGACAATGCTGATGAAGATCTACTGGCTGGCTTGAAATTCCTGTCTGTGAAATTGCCTATGTTCCTAGCCCAGCCCAGTGAAGAACTATGAGGCCCAGCCAGTGTTACTAATCCCTTGGTGGCCCTGACAACTGGCCTCTAATGCCTAGATATCTCGTCAGAAACACCTGGACTGGCAAAGACTCTCATAGCAGAAATGATGGTAACTGCCCAAGCCAAGTCCAGCCAGGTACTATGAACACGACTGTAGGTGACCTTACCACATAGCCCAGATGATATGTTCAGGGACCTTTGAAATGAGAAGAAAAGATGAAATGGATAGATGTCCTTGCTCTTGTGTGCTTTCTCTCTCTCTCTTTCTCTCTCTCTCTCTCTCTCTCTCCTTCCCCTCCCCCTTTCGCTCTTTGCCAGTCCTGGGACTTGAACTCAGGGCCTGAGCACTGTCCCTGAGTTTCTTTTTCTCAAGGCTAGCACTTTACCACTTGAGCCACAGCGCCACTTCCGGCTTTTTCTGCTTATATGGTACTGAGGAATTGAACCCAGGGCTTCATGCATGCAAGGCAAGCACTCTACCACTAAGTCACATTCCCAGCCCTGCGTATTTCTCAGAGTGCTACTCTGATGAGTTCAGATCCTGAAGAGGAGAAACCACACACTAATGTCCCCATCTCCCTGGGCCTGGTGCTGGGGGGAGATTGCTAGGCAGGGCCTGGAGGTGGCAGGGTTCAGGCTCTGCTAGAGGATCCAGAATATAAATTTATAACACTGGCAGGGGCAGTATTTTTAAGACAGAACTAAGACATCATTCACATTTTCAGCAGCAATCTAAATGCTCATGGATAGTCCTTGTCCAAGGGCCAAATGAAGGCTGAGAGGTCCATTTGGGAGAGCTCAGGATTCTATCAC